CAAAAATAATTCTACAGAAATCACATATATCCTTTAATTTATTTAACTTGTTTCAACCATCTAGGTTAGAGGGTTTTTACATAGTAGTACTAGGGACAATTAAGTCTGTTTAACACAGAGACAGATGCCAGATGTATGCATGTAACAGTTACAGAGGAAGCATATGCATAGTATCAACTCTACAAATAGTGAGGCTCCCTAGGCACTCGACAGTTTTGAAGCTAAGGGAGTGAATGTTTTTCTGTTATAACATTTTCCCTTGGTGGTAGCAAATTAGCTGCCTTGTATCCATCTTCAACTGGAACTGCAGAGAGTCACTTGAGAGCTTACAAATAAGTTTAGAGCTCTGCTAAACTGTTTCTTAGATACCTGAGAAGTGGGATGCATACCAGGCATGTGCTGAAACAGGTGGACTTTAAAAAAAAAGTTTGATTTTTTTTTTTCTGTAAGACATCTTTTTCTTACCTTAATTGCATACAGAATTTGTTCAAGGTCAAACTAAACCTTGCTTTCAGATATGGTGCATCACACACAATTTTTATTTAATTGGATGCTAAAACAATTCTTTTTTCTTAAAGAAAAACAAAACAAAGCTACATTTTTATTAGGAAACCCGGAGACTGTTTTTTAAAAACCACAGTGTAGATATTGGGGCTCAGTTTTCTCTGCTTTACATTATCTGTGATACTAAGAACTCAAGTCATTAATGTTCATACAGATTTCCTGCCTTTTCATTCCAATATAATAAAAAGGCTGGGAGGAGGGGGACACATTAAAATCAGGTCATGGTGAAAAGCATACATGAAACTCTAAATCAGGTAAATACTGTAGCGATAAGTTCCAGTAAATGAAAAGTTCTCTTTAAATACCCTTAGAAAGTTATTTATGATCCATGTCTAGAATAGGTTTTACTACATTTTATAGTATGTCTGCCCCACTTCTAGGGATGTAGTTTCTTCATTACAGAGTAAAGACTTTGTTAAAGAAAGTCAGCAGATTGACACCGACAGACATATTCTAAATCCTTTGGCATCTTTAAAGGTAGCAGCTGCATCCTTTACTTGCTTTGCCAGAAGAGTGTTTAACTCATCTAATGTCTCACTGTTGGATTTCCTTTGTAGGATGCTCAGCTAAATAAGATGAGGGCACAGCTAAGAGAAATTACCCTGACTGCATCTTACTTGGTGGTGATGCTTGTAACCACCGTTTAAGTCTATCTCTATGTTGTGGTTTAGGCCTGATTGGCAGCCAACCACAATGCAGCAGCTCTCTCTCTTCCCCTCCGGCAATGAGAAGGGACAGAGAGCCAGGCTTGGGGTTCAAGATAGGACTGGGATGGGGGAAAATCCCCCTCTTATGATCACGAGCAAAAGGCAGACTCGTTAGGGGAAGAAAAAAAGAACATACATTTATTACAGACACTAACAACACATAACAGAGTAGGACAATGAGAAGCATTGCCACATCTTGAGAACACCTTTCCCCCACCCCTCCCTTCTTCCCGGGCACAGCTCTGCTCCCAATATCTCTACCTCCTCCCCCAGTGGCGCAGGGGCAGGGAATGGGGGGTGCAGTCAGTGCTGCCACTTCCTTCATGTTCATTGAGGGGAGTGTCCAAAACTTATTCCCCCCTGCTCCATCGTGGTCCCCCTCTCACAGGAGACAGTCCTCCACAAACTTTCTCTGACTTGAATTCCTCCCATGGGCCGCAGCGTTCCCCACACTGCTCCGTCATGGGTCACTAACTTCCTCTGACTGGATTCTCTCCCAGGGCTGCAGCCCTTCCCGAGCTGCTCCGGCGTGGGACTCCCCCGCATGCTGCAATCCTCCCAGCACTGAATTAGAGCAGCGGGGCTACCTTTTCCCACAAAACCCCAGCATTCTTTGGGCACAGAACCTTGATCATCTGAGAAGGAGCAACAGGCCATAAATCAATGTCTGCTCCACCGTAGATCTTCATGGGTGGCGGGGGGGGCCGCCCTGCCGTCTCACCACAGGATACAGGGGGGTCTCTGCTCTGGCACACCTCCCCCCTCCTTTCTTCCTCCGTTCCTCCACTGACCTTGGTGTTCATGCAGCTGCAGCGACTCCTCACAAGTCCGACTGCCCGTCACCACGTCCCTTCTTAAATACATTATCGCAGAGGCGCAGCCGATTGGCTCAATTTCCCAAACAGAAGTGGAGCTGACTTGGAGCTGGGGGAGCTTCGAGAAGCTTCTCACAGGGGGCCGCCCTGATAGCCCCCTCCCCTGCCACCAAAAAACTCCACCACTCACTCAACCCAGGACACTCTAGTACTGAAATACACTTTTTATAAGAACGTGGCTGAGATGAAGAGTTGCTAGAGACCAGAAAAATAGATTCTAACAGTTAGCAGGCTTAAAAGTGAAGATATTAGTGAAAACAATGAGCAAATGACATCATCCTTGGAAATAGTTCCCAAATTACATTTTTTTCTTAAATATAATGCTCTGTCACATCACAGTACTCCAACATCAGTACAAAAGTTGAAGCTATAACAAATGCAAAGATAACAAGCAAAAAGGTGACTCCCAGTTGAGCAGCTCATCTGCTTCAGATAAAAGTAACTAGCAGGAGAGGTTTTGTGAATTGGTGTTGTTAATATCTATAATCTGCTTGATCCTTGAAATACAAGGAAATGATCCAGAACTTAAGGTTCTTGATGAAGAATCTGGGGAAAGGAAGATGTAAATATTCTGAAATCATCTTCAGTAAGTGTCTTTCAGAAATTAACTTAAAGTTTATGGAGAACCTGAAAATACGGTATTGAATCTGTTTACATGTACAATTCATTTTGCCAAACTAGTTATATTTATAGAGTCAGATTTGAAAAAATAATCCTTAATTATTCTTTCTGCTTGATCTAATTGGAGCACTATGCAGTCAGAAAGTTAAGTAGGATAGCATTATAAAACTCAAATTCCTAAGAGAATGAGGGTGCTTCATAAATTGGCATAAGGGTAATGCCATTCTGTAAATCTCTTTTGAAGGTGGTAATAAAACACAACACCAGCAATCTGCTAAACAATAGTCTAGGGCATCATCTAATTGAATAGTAATGAATATGTTACTTATCATAACATAGGGTAGACTCTATATGAAGCTCTTAAATATTTTCTCTTTTCCTAAGAAGATATTTCTGTATCTGTATGTCCAAGTGAGAGTTCCTTAAGATGCCTGGACAACTTCAGGGTTTTTCTGAGAGCAGCATTGTGAAAAATGTTCTTCCTCTTGTTCCAGCAGATGCATTATATGTCCCATGAAGTCCAAAGTATATGACCCATATACAACATCAACCTTTTGAAGCAGAGAATGATACCCAGTGACCTTTTCCATCTATCAGCATAAAACAGACATGGTCTCATTATGTCTGGTAAAGGAGATTTTGAATGTAAATCTAGGCATACTGGCAGGAATGTGGAGGAAACTACTCTCTTTCACCAAAGTGGCCAAATTTTGAATGGTTTAGCATCCATATAGCCTGCAGTAATTTTTTGTGAGACTTTGTAAAGGAAAACAGATAGCATTTGAAAAGCTTTACTGAATTGATTATGGTTTGGACAAAATCATGCACCTACATAGAATCTGACAGACTTCCATTCAAGAGCGTCTACCTGTAGACAGTATGTAAGCAGAGCCATCAAAAGGACATAGAAACAGATTTCTTCAAAAGCCTGTAATGTCTTTCTCCTAAGTGGCACCCTCATCAGTCAATGTCTCTAAACAAGTTTTCATATCCAAATTTGAGACAAGCTTACAAAACAAAAAGCTTGGTGCCTTCTAATTAAAGATTTGAATACTGAGATAATTGGCAACCGGTGAGGAAGGCTCAGTGGTATAATATATAGCTAATTGTTGGTGGCTTGACGGTGTGACAGATGGGGATAGCTTCTTTAAATTATGGAGCTTTTATATTGGTATTTTCAGGAAATGTCAACAGCATGATTATATTTTCATTAATGTTGTCTTTCCTTCCCATTTGTTACTTTTGTTAGTACTAATCACTTGTTACCTCTTGTCTCTAACTGTACAATCTATTAATATTTGTATAGGATGCCACACAATAGACCTGGTTAATGACTGGATTACTAAACATTGCCACAGTACAACATACATTGTTAGTATTTACAAAATATTACAAATTATATATGGAAATTATTGATATTATAATTATGACTATCTCACAATACAGTTAGTAAAAAAGAATGTGAATATCATACAAATTCTGCAAATGATTATACAGATTCAGTTAGGTTTCAGATTTAAGAGTCATTGCATTTTTAGGTGCCAGTACTGAAACAATCCCACTGTAAAATCTGTGGCACTGTCTTGATCAAGAGTAGGAAAATGTGTTCTATTAAAAATGTTCTTTCTAACAGATCCACAAGCCTGTTCTCTTCTGTTAATTACTGCAGTTTTGTTTCTCTTTTCTAGGAAACAGCTTTAGGGCTCTACAACAAAGATTTACTGTTTAAAACTATGAATTTGTCCAGATTACTAAAGTTTCCCTGTAGTTTCTCATCTAAGCATAGGGCTGGCATACCTAGCCCTTGCATGTTTCCTCCCTGCAGCCCTGGACTAGGAAGAGATTTTTATGGTGGGATTGGGGAACAGGACAAAATATATTTTCATGTCTGTCATATTGTCTTTTTACTGCAAATTAGAGTAGGTGCCAGTCTGATTTACAGGCAAATGTTGGAAACCAAAAAACTGGGTGTCCATTCTCAGCCTTATCTTTTTCTCCTCTAATAGGAAGAAATAAGACACCCTTCTAATTAGTCAGATATTTTCAGTTCACTACCAGTTATAAACTTCTGTGTTTGTATCTTTGAGTCATAGTGAAAAATTTCAAGGGCCATGAGCTGTGCCTGGGCCACAGATAGAAATTGTTTTTCTGCTGTGGAAGTTTTGACACTGTTGTGAATTTTGGAAGCAGAGCCTATCCCTGTCTGTGACTCACAGGTCTGATTTGCCTCCAGAACAGCAAGGCAGAGGCCAAAGACCCATTGTTGGGATCTGTGGACCAGCCCGCTGTGAGGATGGAAAATTTTCAGGTAACAGAAATGTTTTCTTGCTCTTACACCATCTTTAAATAAATATATGTGATTGCCATTAAATCATAAGCATGAATTTAAAGCATGCTTCTGTAAGAAAAATGTTAAATGTTCTGTAGTACTCCATGGAATCCTGAAATATTCCTCCAATATTTATGGTTTGGAACAAATGTGAGCTACAATTAAATCCATAGGCCCACCATCTTTTTATTGTTTTTGAGGTGTTTTATGCTATGTCAATATAAAAATTATATTCTTTTTATCCTGTGTCCAGAAATCAAGCAAACAAACAAAAAAACCCAAACAAAAACCCAATAAGGAACAACAGGGCAACTGTCTAAAGATTATAGACCTCAGAAGCTTGTAGTTATAATATTAGGAAAAGACCACAAGATCCAAGAGGTTTAAAAAAGTGGCAGTCCATTCTCATTTTACTGCCAGTCATTTTGCTAATCTGAGCTACATAATTGCTTTGCCTAACTGAAAGGAGCCTTTAAACAGACAAGCCAATATAAATATTCAGATTGGAGACAGCTCTGTTTAATAACGGCAAGCATGTGTATAGAAGTATTTGTTTACCTCTGCTCATTTATGTCAAAATCAATTGTAATTAAACAGAAATCCAACCACAGAAGTAGTACTTTAGCTGATTGTTCTCATCAGAAGTGTCATATAGCCCCAGTGTTTAGGACATGTCAAAGCAGGCCATTATTTTTCTCCTGTAATAAATACCTACTTATAGTCTTTTCAGTTCCTTAGTAAAGGCAATTGCCTCTCTCAAATAAAAAAGTGAGACAACATTTCATATAAATTCTGGGAAGTTTTCTGGTCATATTACAGGAATTACTGAAGTTATGAAAGGCAGTTATTTATGTTCTCTACTAGTCATTAGATGCTACTTATTATTCATTTGTTTACACATATGTACAGAAAACATAGATCTTTCACATCTATTCAAATTATTAAAATATATAAAACATACCTTATTTTATTAATACAGAGCAAGTACTAGTGGGGTTTGTTACGTAGTGTGTTTGTGGTTGGACCAGAGAAATATAAGCTACAGAGGATTTTACACCTTGTTTCTTTATTGAGTGAATTCTAGATGGAAATATTTTCAATAATGAACACAAATTCACAAAAACAAGGGTTGAATGAATCTATCTCTCAGGGAAGTCAGTGTCAACTCCATGAATGCATTGAAGGCAGATCTTTTTCTTTGTAATGTGAAACAAGGGTCAGAAGACGTGCATTATTGTTCGTCCTGTAATGCAATAAAGAGTAGAACATTTCAAGAGTGAAGGTAGATTGTATCAGCAGTGTGAAACTTCATGCTTCAAAAAGAAGACGACATACATTTTGGAATGGGTCCTCCAGTGTATTTTTCATTTGGAGCTGTTAGTTGATAGTCATTCCAGTCAACTGAATCAGCCAGTGACAATTAATCATTAATTTTTATTTTCAATATTTATAGAAAAGTAGGGGGAAAAAAGTCAATTAGAATGAAGTGTTTATGCCATAGTAAAGACTAGGCATCATCTGTTGAAAGAGAAAAAAAGAGTAAATAATTATGATAGATAGGCTAGCATTTCCTAACATAATAAAAACAAAAGATACTGACATTTTAAATATTCAATGTTATTCATGTACATCTCTGGCAATATTCTTGTTTAGCTTTCACTGATGAATATATGGTAGCACAAAGCTACATTTTTTTATATTTCATAAATAAAAAGTTATTGGAAAAGAATGCAATTGAATTACCATTTACCAGGTCAAATTTTGTAAATTATAATTATCCAAACTCTGTCTGCATCATTTAACTTAAAACACAATTTGAGAACATCATTTACAGGTTTTGAGAGGAACACGATTATATAGGCCTTGGTCTAGATACATGTCCAGGCTTGTGTACAAGGGAAATCAGACTTTAAACATATGTTTATGCACATATACATATATATGCTTTTTTATATATATATGTAAATATATGTATATATACATATATTTAAAGTCTGATTTCCCCTACACAGAAGCCTGGACATTTACTATTAAATTATATCGAGTACTTTGATACAGAGTATAGTGTTATTCATCTTAGAAACATAGTTTATGATATATTTCTTGAAAATATTTGTATGCTGATTTTCCATATACATGGATTTTTTACTTTTCACTTGCTTATCTGCTTTGTGTGTGTATGTGTAATTTAAATAATTAGGGTCTAATTAAATTAGAAAAACTTTCATCTATTAACTGGATTTGGCTACACTGAGTCACTGTTTAAAAAAAAAAATTCTTGAGTTTCTTATTTGTTATTATTATGCAAATTTAATATAATTAGTGAGTCAAACTAAGATATCTCAGTTTTAGCCATGGAAAGAACCAGATATCTAAAGCATTAATTAATTAACTTCACAGTGCAATATATTTAAGGTGAAATTAGTACCCATATTTAATTCTGTTCACAATATTTATGAGGAAAGCATAAGAAATTAAAGTTAGCGCAATAGAAGTATCTTTTGCTTTAAGCCTGCTATAGAAGGCAGATGTTAAATATTGATCCTTTGGTAATTTAGAATAAAATATGTAAGATATATCTTCTGTTTTACCAAAATACATACCTTACATTGCATTTTATATGTTGCCAACACAAATTTCATCCTACACCATCTTACATTTCTATTTGTCAGACATTTCTACCTAGGTGACTTGTTTCCAGATAGCTTGTTTCCTTTTCTTTCTATGACTGATAATTTAGCAGATTTTTTTTAGTGTATGCTTTCCCCTAAGTGCATAAAGCACTTCTGACTGTTTACCCTTAAAGCTCCAGAGAATTAGGAAAACCTCTAGGCTGCTTCTGTTTATTGTACATACTTGCACCATTAAGGGTTTATTTTCAACAGGAGGGAGACAAGTATAGAGATAAAGACCAATGGTGCATATCACTCTACCAGCACATCTACCAGCACATCTTGCTGTACAGCAAGAGTATGACCTATTTTACATACATATATTTATATATTTACCCTTAAATTGATTCTATTTTCTCATATATACTAATTTGGCCCTTGGTGGTGATAGTTCACTTTGTGTTTATAATTTCTGCTGCTGGTACAAAAGAGCCTGTTCGATTTCTTCACTGTCTTCTAGCTGTAGCAGTCAAAATTACAGGCTAATGGTGAGATGAGCAGCTTATAATGTATGATAATCAATACTCAAAATCCATTTCCTATGATGTGACATAAAAGAATGAAGTGAAAAGACACAGATTTTCAAGACTAGAGCACCAAAGCTCATGCAATGCAAGTGGTTTTCACTTCAAGGTCACTCAGTATTTGTTTCTTCTTCTTTTTTGGCTTCATATTTAATTCAGTCACTGCTAGGATGCCCAGGGAGCAGAAATGGAAAGTTAGTCAATACTGTGAGTATGAATGCAAGTATAAAAACTTCTTTAGCAAATGCAGGAAATGAGAAGGGAAAGGAAGATAAGACATGCACTATATATAACATACATATGCTATATGATATAAATCTCTTTTACTTATAAATGCTATCGGACTTTGTATTTTTATTGCCAGTAATGAATAATGTAAATTCTGTACAAGAGTTATCCTCATACCCAGTGTATGTGTACACACATGCATAAAAGATAATTTAAAAGCTTGGAACATAACTTGGCTATAACAAAATTAACCTAATCAGTCTTGAAAATATCGTATCATAGTTTATGGCATAGTATTGAATACTTAGTGTAGTTAACTTATTTCCAGTGGCTGAGAACTTCTCTGATCCTTACCTTTCATCTAATGTTTGTTCATTTTAATCTCAGTTCAGGGAATAATTTTATTATTATTTTTAAAACAAATACAGTTCAGTTAAGTTTTAAAATAAGAAACAGTGTTGAAATAGAATTTCTCATTTGTGTATTTCATATGCATATATATATACGTTGTCAATGCAAATATCAGAGAATTGTATATAAATATATGAACATTTATTTAGCATATTTTAAGATAATATGACACAGGACAACTACCTGAAAGTCAGGAAAAGTTTCCCTTCTACACATGGTCATTTTGTTCTTTAATAGGCTGTCATGTATTGAAATCTTCCCAGTTGTGTTCACAGATGGTCTCCCAGTACACTATGAGCTCTTGCCACATTAAATATGGTTAGAAAGTTTTACAGAAAATGCCACTACTTTTTTTTTTTTTTTTTTTTTTTTTTTTTCTGCGAAAAGGAAATAGTAAAGAGGAATCCTGTTTTAATGGAATAATTGAAAAAAGAGACAGCAGCAGTGAGAAGTATTGGCCTATTGACTGTACAGCTCTGAGCATTTTCTGGTAGTTAACATGCAGCATGTTTTTATTTTCATCTTTTGTTAAATTATTTACAAAACATCATACAAAGGATAGTTAAGTTTACAAAATAAAACAGTTAGTTGGAAAGCTGATTAATTCCTTAGGGAAACCTTTAAAAGTGCCATAAAACTTTTACTTGGCATTGTCATGAGTTCTATATAAGAGAGAAATAGGTTTAAATATGGTTAGAGAATATCTTAAAAAAAAACATGTTATTTCTCCTTACTGTATAGGTCAACTTCTGAAGCTAGAGGCTGAGCATGTCACAAATCTGCTCTGTAGGATTAGGAGAAAGAGAAAAAGAAGAAAATTAATTAATAGCAAGCATTTTCAAAATCTAAAGTTCTAGAATTAACATTGAAAAGGTTGGACTTGGGGAATTTTTTTGTTTATTTATTTCTGTTGGATTTCTGTGACAAAACATAATCAAACCTGGCTAGTATTAACTATTGCCGATCCCATGCTAACACTTGGAACTTTCCTCTCTGGTGCTGTTACTCCATGTGCCTTTTAAAATATGTTGATTTGATTTGTTTTGTGGAGTTTTATGTGTTCCTTTCTTGGAGAGAGATAGAGGTTAACAGTTTTGCTTCAATGTATTAAGCAGCAGCTGCTTGATGCTGTAGAAGTTCTGAA